GGCGTGCTGGAAATCGGTGCTTCCCCTCACCTGAGCTGAAGCGCTGTGTGTGTGGGGCCCACGCTCCTCAGTCCCAGCCAGGTGAGAGATCTCCTCCCCGCCGACACCGCAGGGCCACGGCCATCCCAGCTGTCCCTCCGTGGGCAGAGCTGGGGGCCGGCGGAGCAGTGCTGGAGAGAGACGGTCCCACTCCGCCGCTTTCCCAGCCGCCATCTTCCCCTTGGCGCTGACACTGAGAGCCCCTTTGTCGGGCGGGGAATTCAGGCCCAGTGCTTCTGCCCCATTCCTCACACGTGAGCCACTCTCAAGCACAAGTACGGCCCGCAGGCGCTCGCTGCCTTTGCCCTTAGCTGAACCGGGAGCGCGGTGGCCCCAGCGCTCTCTCCTAATCCTCTGCTCTCCCATTCTGTTTGCAGCCGGGCGTTGCACCAGGACAGTGCTGGCCCATGCAGGGACATCAGGGCCAGGTGGTCATCCGGTTCCCAGCTGAAATCCTGCCCTCTTGTGTCATTCTGGAAGACGTTGACCCAGAGCTGACTCCAGCTGCCTTCCCCAGCAGTGCCCTGAAAGACTTTGCTGTTTTTGTAAGTCACCGCTTTGCTCTTCTGCCTGGGATCTGGGCACAGCACAGTGCCGGAGCAGGGACTGGCTTGCTTTTGGGCATCCTCAGAGCCCTGTGTCCCGCCGCCTGCCGAGCACTGCGGTGCCCCAAGGGGATGTTTCCTAAGCTGGTGAGCTGGAATCCTCCTTAAGCCTTGCTCGGCAAGCATCTCGGGCTTCCTGAGCAAAACTCGAGGCGGAGACTGAGCTCCAGCGGAAGCAGGGCCGGGCTGCTGCCCGAGCCCCGGGGCAGGGGGGTGGGCAGCCACGTGCTGACACAGCGCACGGCTTTGCTCTTGGTGCACGAATCTGAGCGTCCATCCTTGTGCTTTGCTTGCAAGGGGCTGGATGTGGACAGCGAAGAGGAGGTTCCGCTCGGGTCGTTCACCTTCAGTGTGCAGAAGGCACCCCTACAGACCTTCCTGCTCCAGGTAGGACAGGGGCAGCACGCCACGGACGACGCCTGCCCCCTGCCCCTCCCTGTGCTCCCACAGGCCTGCAACTGGAGCCCTCCGGCTGCACAGCCACGCTCTCCCGCTGTCTGGAGCTGCTGAGCAACAGGAGCAACTGGCAGGGGTGAGCCGTGGAGCACAGGGTGGGAATTGGAACCCCAGCAATTACTTTGTTCCTCCCCATTTCCTTTGCAGAATCGTCCTGCCAGAGCCTTTCGCCACATCAAGGTTCTGGTGGAGAGCAACTGGGGACATCCAGAATACACCTGCATTTACCGAGTGCAGGTGCACGGGAAGGTGGTGAAAAAACTGACCGTCTGAAAGTGGAGCAGCACGATCCGAAATTGAACGTGGAAGATCTGAAATTGGCATTTGTCAGATCTGAAATTGGATTTGTCACCTCTGACATTGGCATTTGTCAGATCTGGAATTGGACTTGGAAGATCTGAAATTGGCATTTGTCAGATCTGAAATTGGCATTTGTCAGATCTGTAATTGGACTTATTGACCAAAAAATAAAAACATCAACATCATCTCGAACCGCGTCTGTGTTGAGATGGGGCGCAGCTTCGTGGGGGGGGCAGCTCCTCATTCCTCTCCAGCCTCCCAAAGCCCTGCGCCGGTGCTCCCCTGACAGCGACACGGCGAGCGCTCAGCAACAGCCGGGCTGAGGCACAGAGCCAGGCGGAGGGGCCGCAGCCTTCCTGGGCTGACACGGGCAGCCGGACGGAGCTCCGAGGAGCCACCGAGCCGCCCAGAGCTCTGGCTGCGGGGAACTGCGGGATCTCCAGGCCGCGAGAGGAAATGGGCAGGCTGAGGCACGCCCAGCGGTCAGAGAGAGAGATGGGCGGCTGGCATCGCGCAGCGACACGGGCAGAGCCACAGCCCTGCCTGCAGCCCCAGCCAGGGGCAGAGGCGAGGCTGCCCGCTTGGCGCCGCTCGCCGGGTCGGGTTGGGGCAGCGCACCGAACGCACACAGTTGTGGCGGTCGCAGGGCCAGCTGACGGCTGCGTTTGACCAAGGCTCTGGGGCCCGGCGCCGTGCGTGCCGGCTGCTGGAGGAGCCGGCCGACTCCGGGCTCGCTGAGCCGCTCTGCAGCTCCTTAGAGAAGTCGTGGCTGCTGGGCAAAGTCCGTGGCGACTGGAGAATGGAAACGGCGCTCTGAGGAGCCCCTCGGAGGGAAAGCCCTCGGAGGGATACTCCACACGGCAGTATGTGGCAGCCACATACTGCAGTAAAGTTCCACCCTGGGATTGTTGGAAATACCCAAATAGTTTGCTAGGACGGTTTCTCTGATGGAGCACATTTTATTCGCAAGCGCAATGGCGGCCTCCTGCGAGCAGGAGAGCCCCGAGAAAACAGCGTTCCATCAGTTATCCCTATTGCCGCCGCTGATCTCGTTCTCCCCTGGTCCCTCACTGGCTGAGTGCTGCAGGTTCGCACTCTTTGGCGATGCTTCACCAATCAGACAAACACCGAGTAGACACAAATCTTTGCTTGTCATACACACACGTCTCAATTGGTTTATTGACTTCTGACAACTGCTTTCTTAACCAACCTTTGGTCATCACTTTTCGGATGACAGTTTCACAACATAAACACAGGCACAGCCTCAATTGTTTAATTACGCCCTAACATTTGTGCCCCGTCACATTGGGTCACTGTTCTGGTCATTCATTTGTCCTTGCATAGAGAGAAGCTGGGAAGGAGGATGGAGGGGAGCATCTTGGAGCCTGTCTATGGCATCCCAACATTCCCACAGAGTGAAGACAGGGAAGGGAAGACGGTTCTTTCTGCTGTGTGTAAAGGCCCTGACTCCTTGAAAGCCTGGGAAATGTATTTGCTTCTGCCGGCCTAATGAACAACCTTACACTGTTTCCTGGCTCAGAATACTAGACCCATATTGTTTAGAACATTCACAATCCATTGCAGCTGTGCCAGAAAGTATTTGTTAGGTGATTCGGTAACTATGTTTCTAAAATGTGTTACAAATAGGTATGTGGTATTTTTACTTCCCACATCAGCTCTTTTGCCAATTCTAAGGATATGTTGCAGCTTAATTCTTTAGATTTAGTTTAGTTTTAGATTTTAGATTTAGTTGCCCTTTTCAACGCTCAGCGCAGAAACAGCACTTTCACTTTCCACGTGCACGAAGCTACCGGGTCGCAACGGCCAACACGCCGTGCCTGCCTGCCCCTTGGCTTTCTCAGAGCCCGTCCTTATAGAACGGTCTCGGTTTCTTATCGGCCGTCCCAAGGACTCACCTCAGCACCCAGACAGGACCGCGGAAATCAGCGGGGTGCACCTATGCTGTCCAGGGTAGTGGGGGAAACCCCCAAGGGCCGATAATGATCCCGGACGAGCCCCCAAGCTGTTGGAAACGTCGGAATAATTTTCTAGGACGGGGCCTTGCACGGCCCTGCGCAGCCCCCCCCCACAGCCCCGTCTGGCCCCGCACGGCCCCGCACAACCTCGCACAGCCCCGCACGGCCCCGAGGGCGCGGCGCTGCACCGGGACGCGGAGGTTCACGGAGCGCCGCCCTCAGCCGAGCCGAAGCCGCGGCCTCTCCGCTTCTTGGCCTTCTCCTTCCACTTATGGAAGCTCTTTGCGGAACGACGGCCGGTCAGGGCCCGGCAGCCCGAGCGGGGGCGGGGCGTTCCGGGAGCGGGGAACGGGAGCAGAGCCGCACCGCCCGCCCGCCCTCGCGCCGGGCCTCGGCCGCCCTCACCGTCGCCGTCCTCGTCCATGGCGAACTCCTCACCGCTCGGCTCGCACTGACCCACAACGTCCGCCATCTCGCCGCGCTCACCCCAACCGCCCTGCGGTGCGCGATGGGAAACGCGCCGGAAGCGAGGTCATGACCTCATTCCGAGGTCACCTTCAGCAGCCGAGTGGCGTCTCGCTTTTGTAAGGACACCCCCTCGTTCCCCACCGTCCCTTCATCCCCCCAGGCCCCACAGCCCCTCCCGGTCCCACCGCCCCACGGGTCCTCAGTACGGAGCCCCGGCAGCCCGAGTGCAGCACCGCTGAGTGCCAGCCCTCAGGACGCTGCCGCTGCCCCCGTCGGACGTGCCGCCGTTCCTTTCGGCTCCTTGTCCTCGCTGCCGGCCGCTCGCGATGCCGCCAGCCGCACACGGCCTCTGTCCCAGCCGGGACCCGGTGCCGTCACTGCTGTCCCCGGGCGCCATCTGTCCGTCCTGGCTCCCGTTCCCGCCGTCGCTGTCCCCACGCCGTGTCCCCGTGTGCCCCCCCGAATCCCACCGGTGCCATCGCCACGTTCCCAGTTGTCACCCGCTGTCACTGGGTTGGCTCTCCACGTCTGAGTGACGGAAGGACAGAATCCCTGTTTATTCAGTGTGCCCACAGAAATGATCGCTCCCTCCATAAAGTTGATGGCCTGCCTTTTAATTAAGCGCCTGCCGTTAAGCAGGGGCCTTTGCCATATCCCAGAGCACCTCTGTCCCCAGGGCTCTCATCTGTGTGTTTTATCTCATCAGTGGGAATCAAATGATGTTTCTGCATTAGAATTGTATAATATTATTTTTATTTTATCATCTCCACTATCATAGTTCTTTTGGGGAGTCCCTCTACTTAACTTGGGGAAGATTTCTGATAAGTTTACATCATTGATCCTCTAGACGAACCTTCCCAGGCACGCACACTCTGTATACAGGTCACACACTGCAAGAACATCCTGCACGAGAGCAAACCAGACAACAAGTGATGGCCTGCCCAAGGAAGCGCCTGAAGAGACATTGGGAAGGCCTGGCATCATCCCCAGTGCTCTTTGTTCAACGATGATGACTTCAAAGAAAATCACCATATCAATAGGACAAGGAGAGCACCGAGACAGCTTGGAAACAACAGGATGGCTGCTGACTGACACCAGATAACAAATAAATGAACAAGTAAATAGCAAATGTAAACCTTCTGATAAGACTGTGAACGTGGAGTACGCAGCCAGTGGGGAAACAGGGGAGGGGGGAGGCAAGGGGGAGCAAACAGGATCTAAAGGCTGCCATGTTGTGTCCATAGGTGCTCCTGCTTGCGGGACGCCGCCATTGCAATCGCGAATCAAATCTGCTTTTATCAGAGATCCCGTCCTGACAAAATTATTTGGATATTTCCAACAGTGCTATCAGCGCGTAGAGGCAAATAGTTGGATTGTTTATAGCGAGAAATCGTATCACACAAAGAAGGAGCGCACGGTGCGGGTTTTCACTCTTCCTTTCTCCAACCCTGCCCCCACAAAAGCTCCCCCGCTGTCCCAGCCGCCCCCTGCGGCCCATTTCCCGTTCCAGTACGAACGGGAGGAGGCTGCGTTCCTCAGCTGCCCCTTTCTCCAAACTGCTCCTGGGAGCGGGGAGTTCATTTCTCTTTGATCTTTTCCTACAGCGCCTGTTTCTCACATAAAGGCTCCGTCATCGCCTTTGTTTGCCCTACACCCATTACACCCCTAGAGCTCCAAGGACTTTTGCAGCGACCCCGCGGACCCTACAGGCCCCTCTGTCCACTTACGCACCCCGTACGTCCCACAGCCCCCCTGCGGCTTCTGCAGCCCTTCTGCAGTTCCACGTACGTCCTGCAGCGCTCCACAGCCCCCCAGGCTCCTACAAAATCTACGGGGCCCCTGGAGCATCCCTGCAGCACCCCGATAGCTCCCGGCACGCCACAGCGCCCCCAGCAGCCCAATCCCCATAGGCTCAACAGGCTCCACAGCCCCCCTCCAGCCTCCCAGCCCCGCTCCCGGCGCCGCCGTTTCCCGGCAGTCCCCGCGCAGCCGCCGAGGGTCGCGTTTGCCGGCGCGCCCGGCGGCGGTGGCGGCGGTGGCGGCGGGGCGGAGCTTCGGGTGGGCGGGACCGTCTGCATGGGCGGGGCCGCACGCAGCCAATCGGGAGAGGGCGCTCGGCGGCGGCGTTGCCATAGAAACGGCGCCGCCCCCATGGCGGCGGGCGGTGCGGAGCGGCGGCTCCGGTACTTGACAACACGGGAGGTGGCGGAGGCTGGGCGGCCCCTGCTCAGCGCTCTCGGCCGCGTTTACGACCTGGGCCCGCTGCTGCGGGAGCGCCGCGGTACGGGGGGGGGAGCCGCCCTGGGGACGGGTCCCGGTGTGGGGGCTCCGAGTCCGACCTTCTTCCCCAGGTGGCGTCACCCTGGCCCCCCTGCTGGCCGCCGTCGGCACCGACGTGAGCCGCTGCTTTGACCCCGAGAGCGGCGACGTGAGTGGGACGGGGGGGCGGGAGCGTCCCCGGGCTCGCGGGGCTTCGGGGCGGGGCGGTGCTGTCCCGGCGGAGCGGGGGAGGGGGCCCGGCGCAGTTTTCGGGGCCCGGCGCGGTGTCGGGCGGTCCCGGTGCCGGTGTTTGCAGTCCCAGGGCGGCGGGGGTGCGAGCTGGGCGATCCCGGTGCGAGGCGGGGATCCCCGCACGGGCGGGACGGGGCGGCGGCCTCCGATCCCCGCCACGCGCGTCAGGCGTCCCTCCCACCGGCAGCCGCTGCCCCGCGTGGAGCCCCGCACCGGCCAGACCGGCTCCCGGTTCCCGCTGGGGACCCCGGGCGGCTCCCAGCCCCTCGCGCCGCGCTCAGACGGGGTCCTTCCGCTGCACGCCGCGTGGTGGCGGGACCCCCGGCTGCAGGTGGGACGTCTGACGGCCGCCCCCCGCCTGTTGCGCCTCTGCAACGCCCTGACGGGCCAGAACTGCGTCATCGAGGTCAGTGGGACGGGGGGCACCCGGGCCCCGAGACACGAGCCCGCTCCCCGGTGGGATCCTGCTGTCCCCAGCGAGGTGCTGGGAACCTCGGCCCCGTCCCCTTCCCTTCTTACGGTCCCCCAGGTGTGCGGGGAGGAGCCGGTGGGAGCGGCGCTGCGGCGGGCGCGGGGCTGGCAGGAGCAGCTGGAGAAATACACGGCGTGCTACGGCGGCGTCCCGCTGAACCCCCACCTCAGCCTGGAGCAGAACGGGATCCCGGACGGCACCTCCGAGCTGCGCAGCCTGCGCCTCGACCCCAAGGACTTCATCCCCACCGTGTTTCTCTACTTCAATGATGACGCTGGCAGCGACAGCGAAGGTGGGACCTTTAAGCACCCCCAAAACCCTAAGATAGGCCCCTCGCCTCTTCAAAACCCTTGCCCCTACCCCCTTGTCCCCTCCCACCCGGAATGCACAGCACTCCCCAAAAAACTCCCCGGGACCCCGTCCTTCTCAGAACCCTTAAAACCCTTCAGACTGCCATAGAACTTCCCAGGACCCCCAGACCACCCCAAAATTTCCTCCCCATTCTTCCTTTTCCAGCCCTGCAGTGACATCTTCCCCACCCTGGGCTGTGGATGGTACTATGGGGGCACTACACCCATTCTGGATTCCAGTTGTGTTTTTGCAGCACAATAAAGCTGGGTTTTTTTAATTATTATTTGTTGTTGAAAAATTGTTCTGTGCGTGGTCATGGTGGGGCAATGCAGGATCCCGTGGTTTAGGGGCACCCCTGAGGATCTGTTTGTGAGGAGGAGCCTGGTGCTAATGAGCAGCCCTGCTAACAAAGGGCAAACGACCCCTCAACCTGTGACCCTGCTGTCCTTCCCCCATGACGATCTCCCAGCAGCCCTGAGGAGCTCCTGTGCAGATCCAAGGCTGCTGTTGGTGTTCCGGTCACTGCGGAGGAAGGCTCCCACCCCGTGCACCCATCTGGTGTGCACACCCACCGGTCGCAGCTCAACCTGCCACGGGACACAAGGTCACATCCTCCCAAGGAGCTGGAAGAGGGGGGATTGGACACGATCCCATGGCACCCCTGGAGCACCTAAAGTCCCTGTGTCACAGTTCTATGCTTTTTTGGGTTTTTTTTGGTTTGTTTTTGGGTTCCAGTATTCCACATCAGAACATGCAGTGCACGGGGCATTGAAGTGTCACTGCCCCAATCCCAGGTACCGATCGCTGTGCATTACAGCAGGCACGGGATCTGGCCCTTCCGGGTGGGGGGCCGCTCTCTTGCTGCCTGGCAGTGGGTGCTGCAGGCGCTTTCCTGGCCGTTCCAAGCTGTTCAGGTTTGACTCTGTCCCAGGAACTCTCTCTCTCATCTTGTCTGTTTTATTCATCTTCATTTCAATTAAATTGTACATATTGTGTTATCTTGTATTCCGATATTATAGTAAAATAAGTTTTCCTCCATCGATTGCTGCCGCTGCTCTTCTCCTGCCTTCCTTCCTTCCCATTTCTGTGGGACTGGGCTGGGGGCAGGCAGAGGCCTGGTGCCCTGTCACAGACGTAGATTGATCTGATCAACGCCATGACACATCATTACTGAATTATGTGATTAATTCTTTCTTGCAAAACTGTAATAGTTGTTAAATGTTCCGAACAATGCGAATATAGCGTTAGGGATCAGAAAACATCTTGTTCTGTCAGGATAAGAAACTGCAGCAAAAGAACAATAGATTTAGCAACCATCAAAGGAGTTGGGGCCTCTCCACGAGGCCGAACCGCCTCACTCCTAAGAAGGCTGGGACGTGCCAGGCACCAGGAGCCTCCCCTGCTTTTCTGCTGAGCTCATCTTTGTGGAAAGAAGGACAGGCAGATATCCGCAAAATAACAATCAGGTGTGGAATAAGTTAATTAATGAGCTACAGATTTACGCTTATGCAGCAAAGATTTATGTTTGTTGAGTGTCTCCATGTTTAGTGAAGCGTCAGGAAGATTGTGAACCTGCGATACTCAGCCAGTGAGGAACCAGGGCAGAAAGAGATCAGCGTCGGGGAATAGGGAATAAATGATGGAACTGTTTTTCTGGGTGCTCTCCTGCTTGCAGGAGGCCCAACATCACAACTGTGGGAATCAAATGATGTTTCTGCATTAGAATTGTATAATATTATTTTTATTTCATGATCTCCGCTATCATAGTTCTTTTTGGGAGTCCCTCTACTTACTTACAAGGTAAGGGGGTCCGTGAGAGCTGGTTGATATTTAAGCACCACTTCTTCCAAGCTCAACAGAGATGCATCCCTAAGAGAAAGAAGTCAGGCAAAAATGGCAGGAGACTTGTGAGGAAGAGCAAGGAGCTCGTGGAAAAACTCAAAGAGAAGAAGAAAGTCTACGAAATGTGGAAAAAGAGTCTAGCCTCCTGGAAGTAAATAGGAATGTTCTCAGGGCCTGTAGGGACACAACAAGGAAGGCTAAGGCCCACTTAGAATGAAATACGGTGGGAGAAGTCAAGGATAAAAAGTAAAGCTTCTGGAAGTACGTCACCAGTAAAAGGAATACGAGCAAAAATGTGGTTCTGCTGCTTAAAATGAGGTTTTGGCAAAAACTGTCGACAAAGCTTTCAACACTGTTTTCCATAACTTCCTTGTCGGTAAGCTTAGGAAGTGTGGGATAGAGTGAGGTAAACTGAGAACTGGAGGACGGATAGAGCTCAGAGCGGTGAAGAGTCCAGTTGGAGGCCTACAGCAAGTGGCGCTGCTCGGGGTCCAGACTTGTTCAGCATCCTCATGAATGATCTGGGTGAAGGGGCAGCGTCCACTCTCAGCAAGTTTACTGACGATACAAAGATGGGAGGAGTGACTGACACAGCAGAAGGCTGTGCTGCCGTTTGGTGAGAGCCGCACAGAGCGGAGAGGCAGAGAGGAACATCAGGAGGTTCAACGAGGGCAAGCGTAGGATCCTGCACCTGGGAGGAACACCTGCATGCATCAGCACAGGTTAGGGGCTGGGCTGCTGGAAAAGATGTCTGTTGAGAAGGACCTGGGTGTCCTGGTGGCCAGCAAGTTGCCCACGAGTCAGCAGTGTGCCTTCATGGTCAAGACTAAAGGTATCCAGGAGTACATTACAAGTGGGGAGCCAGCAGGTCCAGGGAGGCTCTCTGCCCCTCTGCTCTGCCCTGGGGAGGCCACATCTGGAATATCATGTCCAGTCCTGGGCTTCTCGGTTCAAAAACGATGGGGATCATCTCCAGTATGAGGAAAGGCTGAGCATCTCGGGACTGTTCAGCCTGCAGAAGAGAAGGCTGAGAGGGAATCTGCTTGACTGTTTATAAAATATTTGAAGCATAGGTATCAAGTGGATGGCAGCAGACTTCAGTCCTGTGCTTGCCACACAGCCCTCAGCCATTTGGTTTGGTGGGAGGGGATTGCAGAAGCAACATTCCTCCCACTGCAAGCAAAGATCAGATTCATGACCACCTGAGGAACCTCAACATCCACAAGTCTCCCACTGAGACACATCCCAGAGTCCTGAGGAAACTGGCTGATAGTCGTCAAGCTCCTCACAATGATGTCTGAAAAGCTGTGGCAATGGGGCGAAGTCTCTAGTTACAGGAAAAAAGGTAAGATCACAGCCATTTCTAAGGGTAGGAAGAATGACCTTGGGAACTACCAACCAAGACCAAGTCTCATCTCTGTGCTGGGAAAGACCACAGAGTAGATTCTCCTGGAAGCTATGCTAAGGCACATGGAAGATATGAAGATGATGCAGGAGAATCAGTGTGGCTGCACCAGGACAAAGCATCGGTGTGGCTTGACCAACTTCTATGATGGCATCACTGCAGTAACAGAAAAGGGAAGAGCCGCTGATTTAATCTATTCTTACTTTAGTGTGGCCTTTGACACAGTAACCCACAACGTCTTTCTCCCCAGATAGGAAGTATATGGATTTGATAGGTGGATTGTTCAGCGGACGAAGAACCAGCTGAACAGGATCGAGTCCAGAGAGCAGCG